CTCACCTTCAAGGACCATAACATTGTATCGATCGCATCTGCTAGAAAAATGACAGGATGGATAATGAGAACCTTCAAAACGAGGGATGCCAAGCCCATGATGACACTCTTCAGGTCACTTGTTCTATCTAGGCTGGAATATTGCTGCACACTAACATCACCTTTCAAGGCAGGTGAAATTGCTGACCTAGAAAATGTACAAAGAACCTTCACGGCGCGCATAACGGAGATAAAACACCTCAATTACTGGGAGCGCTTGAGGTTCCTGAACCTGTATTCCCTGGAACGCAGGCGGGAGAGATACATGATTATATACACCTGGAAAATCCTAGAGGGACTAGTACCGAACTTGCACACGAAAATCACTCACTACGAAAGCAAAAGACTTGGCAGACGATGCAACATCCCCCAATGAAAAGCAGGGGTGTCACTAGCACGTTAAGAGACCATACAATAAGTGTCAGGGGCCCGAGACTGTTCAACTGCCTCCCAGCATACATAAGGGGGATTACCAACAGACCCCTGGCAGTCTTCAAGCTGGCACTGGACAAGCACCTAAAGTCGGTTCCTGATCAGCCGGGCTGTGGCTCGTACGTTGGTTTGCGTGCAGCCAGCAGTAACAGCCTGGTTGATCAGGCTCTGATCCACCAGGAGGCCTGGTCACAGACCGGACCGCGGGGGCGCTGACCCCCGGAACTCTCTCCAGGTAAACTCCAGGTGGTTGTGTACGAATGGTATATAATACCGACAAGATGAGAGTAAGACACATGTGCAACATCTGGGTATCTTTATTGTAGACGTTTCGCCATCCAGTGGCTTTATCAATACAAATTCCAGGACATAACTTGAAGACAGTAGAACTATGTACAGAAGATGAGGTAATCAGTCCCTCAACCTAGGAGTAGGTGCGAACAGCACCATAGTCTCCACGACTATGGTGCTCTTCGCACCTACTCCTAGGTTGAGGGACTGATTACCTCATCTTCTGTACATAGTTCTACTGTCTTCAAGTTATGTCCTGGAATTTGTATTGATAAAGCCACTGGATGGCGAAACGTCTACAATAAAGATACCCAGATGTTGCACATGTGTCTTACTCTCAAACTCCAGGTAAACACTATCGTCAACTCTACACTGCCCTCAACACAGAGGAGACAGACATGTAGCACTAAACTACAGACCAGTGTCACTGACATGTATAGTATGCAAAGTCATGGAGAAAATTATCAGAAGAGTGGTGGAACACCTAGAAAGGAATGATCTCATCAACAGCAGCCAACATGGTTTCAGGGACGGGAAATCCTGTGTCATGAACCTACTGGAGTTCTATGATATGGTGACAGCAGTAAGACAAGAGAGAGAGGGGTGGGTGGATTGCATTTTCTTGGACTACAAGAAGGCGTTGGACACAGTTCCACACAAGAGATTAGTGCAAAAACTGGAGGACCAAGCAGGGATAACAGGGAAGGCACTACAATGGATCAGGGAATACTTGTCAGGAAGACAGCAGCGAGTCATGGTATGTGGCGAGGTGTCAGAGTGGGCACCTGTGACCAGCGGGGTCCCACAGGGGTCAGTCCTAGAACCAGTGCTATTTCTGGTATTTGTGAACGACATGACGGAAGGAATAGACTCCAAAGTGTCCCTGTTTGCAGATTACGTGAAGTTGATGAGAAGAATTCATTCGATCGAAGACCAGGTAGAACTACAAAGGGATCTGGACAGGCTGCAGACCTGGTCCAGAAATTGGCTCCTCGAGTTCAACCCCACCATGTGCAAAGTCATGAAGATTGGGGAAGGGCAAAGAAGACTGCAGACGGAGTACAGTCTAGGGGGCCAGAGACTACAAACCTCACTCAAGGAAAAAGATCTTGGGGTGAGTATAACACCAGGCACATCTCCTGAAGCGCACATCAACCAAATAACTGCTGCAGCATATGGGCGCCTAGCAAATCTCAGAACAGCATTCCGACATCTTAAAAAGGAATCGTTCAGGACCCTGTACACCGTGTACGTTAGGCCCATATTGGAGTATGCGACACCAGTTTGGAACCCACACCTAGCCAAGCACATAAAGAAACTAGAGAAAGTCCAAAGGTTTGCAACAAGACTAGTCCCAGAGCTAAGAGGTATGTCCTACGAGGAGAGGTTAAGGGAAATCAACCTGACGACACTGGAGGACAGGAGAGATAGGGGGGACATGATAACGACATACAAAATACTGAGAGGAATTGACAAGGTGGACAAAGACAGGATGTTCCAGAGATGGGACACAGCAACAAGGGGACACAGTTGGAAGCTGAAGACACAGATGAATCACAGGGATGTTAGGAAGTATTTCTTCAGCCACAGAGTAGTCAGTAAGTGGAATAGTTTGAGAAGCGATGTAGTGGAGGCAGGATCCATACATAGCTTTAAGCAGAGGTATGATAAAGCTCGCGGTTCAGGGATAGTGACCTAGTAGCAACCAGTGAAGAGGCGGGGCCAGGAGCTTGGACTCGACCCCTGCAACCTCAACTAGGTGAGTACAACTAGGTGAGAGCTGAAAGCAGAGCTGTGTTGTCACACACGCACATAGTGACCCGGTGGCTGAAGCTCCCGCTTCACACACGGAGTGCCCGGGTTCGATTCCCGGCGGGTGGAAACATTCCGACACGTTTCCTTACACCTGTCCTGTTCACCTAGCAGCAAGTAGGTACCTAGGTGTTGGTCCTCAATCTTGTCATCCAGGAAAGATTGAGGACCCCAATGGAAATAAGTTAGGCAGTCCTCGATGACGCATTGACTTTCTTGGGTTATCCTGAGTGGCTAACCCTCCGGGGTTAAAAATCCGAACGAAATCTTATCTTATCACACACACAGCTGCTGTAAATGACATATATATATATATATATATATATATATATATATATATATTATATTTATTATATATATATATATATTATATATATATATATATATATATATATATGTCGTGCCGAATAGGCAGAACTTGCGATCCTGGCTTAAATAGCAACGCTCATCTTGCCATATAGGACAAGTGAAGATTTATGTATGCAATAATTTCGCCAAAATCATTCTGAACCTAACGAAAAAAATATATTTCACTGTGTTTGTTTAGTATTAAATTATTGTAAACAAATCTAAAATATATTTAGTTGGGTTAGGTTAAAATAAATTGTTCTTGTTATAATAAGGTTAGGTAAGTTTTCTAAGATTCTTTTGGTGCAAAATTAAAATTTTTTACATTAACATTAATGAAAAAATATATATCTTTAAACGTATAAGAGAAAATTTCAGAAAGGACTTAATTTTAAATAAGTTCTTGCTAATTGACCAGTTTTACATATTCGGCACGACATATATATATTACATATATATACATATATATATATATATATATATATATATATTTTCTTTCAACACACCGGCCGTATCCCACCGAGGCAGGGTGGCCCAAAAGGAAAAACGAAAGTTTCTCCTTTTACATTTAGTAATATATACAGGAGAAGAGGTTACTAGCCCCTTGCTCCATATATATTATATATATATATATATATATTATATATATATATATATATATATATATATATATATATATATAATCACTTACAAGTTGTACTTGGTGGGCACAATATTGTGTCTTAACTCATCAGAACTTTGTCTTACTGAGAGGCCGAAGACAATGCTTTCAACTCAAGAGTGTCTGGCAACACTTCCTGCTGCTTCACCAAGACGCTGCGATTTGACAAGATTATCATATTAAATTTAGTACATAATACGGACAGTTTGATGATTATCATAATAATAATAATAATAAAAATAATAATAATAATAATAATAATAATAATAATAATAATAATAATAATAATAATAATAATAATAAATTCTTTATTTCTACAAGTACATGTACAAGGTATACAGGCCTAGCTGACATCAGTGACATACTACTATACAGAAAACCGCTTGTTATGCTGAGTATTTCGGGTAAATTAGATCAGTTTTGTCCCGGGATGCGACCCACACCAGTCGACTAACACCCAGGTACCTATTTTACTGATGGATGAACATGGACAGCAGGGTGTCTTAAGGAAATATGACCTAATGTTTCCAGCCGGAGGTGAGTGAGTGAGGTGAGTGCACTAGTGATCCAGCTACGGGACACCTGGGCGACATTTGAGTATCTTCATTGTCGAACTTTTTCGCCTGCTTAACAGGTTTTCTCAGTCGAGTACACAGGAGACAGTGGAATTAGTAATTGCACATGTGTCTTATTCATCGACGGGTCAAAAATGATGTCGCTGTTTGGTTGATACATCTAGCTCCTCAGCTGAGGTATTAAAAAATGATGTCGCTGTTTGGTTAACACATGTAGCTCCTCAGCTGAGGTATTAAAAAATGATGTCGCTGTTTGGTTAACACATGTAGCTCCTCAGCTGAGGTATTAAAAAATGATGTCGCTGTTTGGTTAGACCTGTAGCTCCTCAGCTGAGGTATTAAAAAATGATGTCGCTGTTTGGGTAACACCTGTAGCTCCTTAGTTGAGGTATTAAAACTGTAATGTTTTGTGTTGGTTACAATCACAGGTTAAGAAATACCTGGACGAAGCGTTGCAACAGATGCTGATAACGTTGCAATAAGAACATAGCAAATATGGAGGGATGTCATACAGGTGAGCCCACAGTGTCATCCCCCACAGTCATGTGTATCTCTCTACATATCTTATCTGCATGAGTAACTTTTTCACACGGAGGTGAAGGTTCAATGTGTCATAATCTAGTTATTATAGAACATTAGGCAAAATAAGTTTATTGGAGACATATACAAATTATATAAGAGTATACATAGAGTGAAACTTCACTTTAATCTCCACAACATACGTTAAAGTTTTCTTGGTGTTAATGACAACTTGTAGACCGTAGGTTTTAAGTTTAAAACAACCAAACAATATGAAACAAATTATCATATTTTTTGTAACCTGTGCATACAGTGAATACTTACCCGAACACTGTCTCCTGATCACTGTATCCTGAGGAGCCACAACACACTCTGGACGTGCTAGCCCCGTCGCATCAAGAACATGGATAACACACCGTGTCCGTCAGAGAGCCATGATTTGAACAAAGCCTGGGGTATCGCTACTGTGCCCTTGGGGATATAAACGATAGGTGCAGAGCCTGGGGTATCGCTAGTGTGCCCTGGGTGATACACACGATGAGTACAGAGCCTGGGGTATCCTGGGGTATTGCTAGCGCGCCCTGGGGTGGATACAAGACGAGTACAGAGCCTGGAGTATCGCTAGCGTGCCCTGGGTTAGACACACAACGGGTACAAAGCCTAGGATTTCCCTAGCGTGCCCTGGGGTAGTCACACAACGGGCACAGAGCCTGGGGTGTCGCCAGCGTGCCCTGGGGTAGCAAGTGAGGAGAGTGTTGAGGGCACTGAAGAGCGAGCACCAGGCAACTGAGCCAGTGTCACTGCTAAGCCACCAGTGGCAGCAGTTTTCTGCTGTTTCTGCTGCCCTGGTATCTATTCCGCCTCTCCCTGCCATAATATCTTATCAGCGCTTCATGTAGTAACAATTCAGATAACCTGTAACAGCCGTAGCTCCTTCGGCTCACAACCAAAGGACGTAAGTTCGATCTCAGGACAGTGAAAATGTAGGGCCAAGCCTCCTCCTTACACCAGTTATGCATTTTCACCGAGCTGCAAATAGGTACCTGGGTGTTAAGTCAGTGGGTGTTACGTCCTGGAGTTAGGTGATTGGTTGATAGGTACCTGGTGTTAGGTACCTGGAGTTAGGTGACTGGTTGTTAGGTACTTGGTGTTAGGTATCTGGTGCTATGTACTTGGTGTTAGGTACCTCGGTGTTAGGTACCTGGGTGTTAGGTGCCTCGGTGTTAGGTACCTCGGTGTTAGATGCCCGGGTGTTAGGTACCTGGTGTCAGTACCTGGGTATTAGGTGTCTGGTGTTATGTATCTAGTGTTTGGAATCTGGTGTTAGGTACTTGGCTGTTAGGTACCAGGTGTTAGGTACCTGGGTGTTAGGTACCTGGGTGTTAGGAACCAGGTGTTAGGTACATGGTGTTATGTACATGGTGTTAGGTATCTGTTGTTAGGTACCTGATATTTGGTACCTTTGTGTTAGGTACCAGATGCTAGGTACCTGGTGTTAGGTACCTGGTGTCAGGTACCTGGTGTTAGATACCTGGTGTTATGTACCTGGGTTTTAGGTACCTGGTGTTCGGTGCCTGGGTATTAAGCACCAAGTGTTAGATACCTGGTGTCATGTACCCGGGTGTTAGGTACTTGGGTGTTAGGTACCAGGTGTTAGGTACCTGGGTGTTAGGTACCTAGTGTCAGGTACCTGGTGTTAGGTATCTAGGTGTAAGGTACTTGGTGTTAGATATCTGGGGGCTAGGTACCTGGTGTCAGGTACCTGGGTGTTAGGTACCATGCGTTAGGTACCTGGTGTTAGGTACTTGGGTGTTAGATACCAGGGTGTAAGGATGAAATGGCTGTCGTTGGGACGACTTTTCGCCCAGTATCGCACAAAGTACTGACGTGAGTGCGACAGGAATATTAGCGAAGATATAAATGTTGTTAGGTAAGACACTTGTGCAACAGTTAGGTATCTTTATTTCCAAACGTTTCGCCTACACAGTAGGCTTCTTCAGTCGAGTACAGAAAAGGTGGTCAGTCCCTCAGCCTGGAGGGAACAAATACTCTACTCCAGGCTGAGGGACTGACCACCTCAAACTACGTCTTCAAGCGTGATGGATTGATTACATCGTCTTCACATCTCTTCTACCAACTTTACTGTACTCGACTGAAGAAACCTACTGTGCAGGTGAAACTTTTGGAAATAAAGATACCTGTCACGTGGGTTCAGTAACGTGGATTGGGTAAAGGATACACACATAGGCAATAATGGAGTATAATTAAAACGGAATATATGGGAAGTACCCAGCCTGACCTACGTCTCTGCTCCCTATCTTTAGACTGCCTCACCAGATGGTTCCTAGGGGTGAGTGGGTTCAAAACATTCTAAAGTCAGCTGTAACAGTGAATAACAAGTGATTCACACAGACGGTTGGTAGTGAGTCACTACTGATGCTGGCAACTGGTTACTGGTATGGTACTACTGAGAGCTCGGCGATGCTAACGTATGTCGTCCCGACATACAGCTAATACAAACTAGAGATGACAGGCCTACGGCTGGGCTGATTCTATACAATATCAAAGTACACAGCAAATGAACATTATAGCATACATAAGGAGAATATTGGAATGAAAGCAAACGTAACTTACTGTAACGCATTACAAGGTATGATATAGCACAACTCATAGAATGAACTCAACATTGGGATTACACTACAGAACTGATAAAAAATTTGATCGATCAATCTGTATTCATGTGATCTACGGATTCTGAGGAAGAAATATATACAAAGAAAAAAGTGTTTAACAGAAATGGCAGACTTGATGCACTCAAATTTAAACTGTTAAATCTCAGAATTCGGAGAGAACGTGAACACACAAAAAAGTTCTTGAATATTAATATACCTAACTGTTGCACATGTGTCTTACCTAACAACCTGTCGGTATTTTATAACATTTTGAAGATAAAAATGTTTATCATGACACATTTTGCTCACTAGGAGCATTGTCAATCCATCATTTCGCTCACTAGCAACTTTATCCAGCCAAATGTTTCGCCCACCACAATCTTTATGCAGGTAACAGGTACATGAAGTTTCTGGTGAGCAAAATGTCTCTTAATAAAAGTTCCGTAAGGTTATACATGTACCTTTCTTATACGTTTCGCTCTGTCTGCAACTTCATAAATGTGACACACACAAAGAAACGTCTTTCATCGTTATACCTGGAGTCTACCTTGAGAGTATTCCAGGGATCAACGCTCCCGCGGCCCGATCCACGACCAGGCCTCCCGGTGGATCAGGACCTGATCAACCAGGCTGTTACTGCTGGCCACATGCAGTCCAATGTACAAACCACAGCCCGGTTGATCCGGCACTGACTCTATCTGTCCAGTTCCCTCTTGAAGACAACCAGGGGTCTACTGGTAATGACCCTTATTGCTGGTAGGAGGCTGTTCAGCAGTCTTGGGCCCCAGACACTTACTGCGTTTTCTCTTAGTGTACCAGTGACGCCCCTACTTTTCACTGGGGGTATGTTGCATCGCCTGCTAAGTCTTTTGCTTTCGTATGGAGTGATTTCTGTGTGCATATTAGGGACCACTCCCTCCAAACTCTTCCAGGTGCAGATTTTGAGATCTCTCTCTCACCTGCGCTCCAGTGAGTACAAGTGCTTCCATGTGTTCCCAGTAGTTAAGGTGTTTGATGGAACTTATACGTGCAGTAAAGGTTCCCATCACATTCTCTAGATCTGCAATTTCACCTACCTTGAAATGGAGATGTTAATGTACAGCAATATTCCAGCCTAGAGAGAACAAGTGGTGGTGATATCCAGGGGTGGTGGTATCCTGGGGTGGTGGTATCCTGGGGTGGTGGTATCCTAGGGTGGTAGTATCCCAGGGTGGTGGTATCCCAGGGTGGTGGTATGCTGGAGTGGTGGTGGTATCCCGGGATGGTGGTATCTTGGGGTGGTGGTATCTTGGGGTTGTGGTGTCTTGGGGTGGTGGTATTCTGGGGTGGTGGTATCCCAGGGTGGTGGTATCCTGGGGTGGTGGTATGCTGGAGTGGTGGTATCCTGGGGTGGTGGTATGCTGGAGTGGTGGTATCCTGGGGTGGTGGTATGCTGGAGTGGTGGTATCCTAGGGTGGTGGTATCCTGGAGTGGTGGTATCCTGGAGTGGTGGAATCCTGGGGTGGTGGTATCACGGGGTGGTGGTATCCTGGGGCGGTGGTATCCTGAGCTGGTGGTGTCCTGTTGTGTGTGGTATCCCGGGGTGGTGGTATACCTTTTTGGTAGCCCACTGTTGTGCAGTATCCTGCGGTGGTAGTAATATACCTTAAATAAGACTGGTCCCTGAACTAATCTGACGAATGGTAACAGCTCCTGGCACGTATGATCGACGGTGAAAGGGAGTTCCTGAAGATACTGCAGTGATTCCTGATGATACTGCAGTGATTCCCGATGACACTGCAGTGATTCCTGACGACACTGCAGTGATTCCTGATGACACTCCAGTGATTCCTGACGACACTGCAATGATTCCTGACGACACTGCAATGATTGCTTGACACTGCAGTGATTCCTGGCGACACTGCAGTGATTCCTGACGACATTGCAGTGATTCCTGACGACATGCAGTGATTCCTGACGACACTGTAGTGATTCTGATTCCCGATGACACTGCAGTCATTCCTGACGACACTGCAGTCATTCCTGACGACACTGCAGTCATTCCTAACAACACTACAGTGATTCCTGAGGACACTGCAGTGATTCCTGACGACACTGCAGTCATTCCTGACGACATTGCAGTGATTCCTGACGACACTGCAATGATTCCTGACTACACTGCAGTGATTGCTTATGACACTGCAGTGATTCCTGACGACACTGCAGTGATTCCTGACGACATTGCAGTGATTCCTGACGACATGCAGTGATTCCTGACGACACTGCAGTCATTCCTGACAACACTACAGTGATTCCTGACGACAATGCAGTGATTCCTGACGACTGCAGTGATTCCTGACGACACTGCAGTGATTCTGATTCCCGATGACACTGCAGTCATTCCTGACGACACTGCAGTGATTCCTGATGACATTGGAGTGATTCCTGACAACGCTACAGTGATTCCTGACGACACTGCAGTGATTCCTGACGACACTGCAGTGATTAATGACGACACTGCAGTGATTCTGATTCTTGACGACACTGCAGTGATTAGAAAAATCAGTCACTCGTTTTGGGGAGTTTTCAAGCAGTAACAAAAATTGTTCCATTATAATTTACAAGGCAGGAACAATGAGTTGAACTTCCCACATAAGCACATTAACCAGTGCTGTGCTGTTGCAGCATTTAATATTAAGTAATGGAGCCGGATAGGCGTTGGAGATGTGAACTTTTAGTGGTATTAAGATAAGTGGCAGGATGTTGATAGTCTCAATAAGGTTATCAGTATTGTGGGTGCCATCAAGAAGAGCATTGAATACCGTCTATACCAAGTCACAAAGTTCTTTTAACTTTAATACAGGCACTAAAAGATCACTTTAATTTACCTGCCTAACATCAAGAAGCATACCATACCACGGGCGGGGATTGAACTCGTGGTTAGTGAGTTGTAAAACTCCAGGTCAGCACGTAAGCCACTGGGCCAGCTGGCTGGAGTTTTACGACTCACTCGCCACGAGTTCAATCCCCACCCGTGGCATGGTTTGTTTTCAATCGTGTCATTACTATTTCGTGAGTCATCAGGAAGTAAACTGGATATTTTACCACCTTGAGTAAAATGAACTGTCTAGCACAGTTACGTCAGTACCTAGTACCTGTGCTAGAGCGTTCAGCTCACACACGAAA